TTCTTATTTTTATCAACATGAGAAAATACGGTATTAAAAAATTCTGAAAAAATTCTCAGTACTTTATGAGAAGAAAATAAATAATTTTTGTCTGTTGAAGTTTTTCTGTAAAGTTGATAGTATTTGAGTAAAAAATTATTCAAGACTAATATTTTGCAATTTTTAGTAATTAATATCTAAACAAATTAAATTATTTAAAAGGCATAAACCACGAACGCCGATTCTAAATGGCTTAAATACTATATATATATTTTCTTTAATCATTTACAATAATAGACGTTTCGGTCCTAAATTGGTAGTCGCACAACACCAAATCAATTCTGATCACAAATTTGATTGGAATAACATTAAGATCTTGGATAATGAATCTTCTTTTCAGAAAAGATTAACTTCTGAAATGATATTTATAAAAAAACAGAAATGTGGTATTAATAAACAAAACGATACTGATAAATTACCAGAGATTTATTTTCCGTTATTGAACATTATATCAACAATTTAGTTCTAGATCTTTCTTTTGTTCTTGAAAAATTGTATATAAACTTTCGAGACTTGTATTGATATAGCTAATACGTTCTCAGCATCGATCTGTATCGCATCGAACAACTTTTATCACATCTATTGTCTTAATCTCTAAATTGTGTGTAATAATTGTATCACTTCTATTGTCTTAAATTTGGAATGCATTTTTAACTTTTGACATACACAGGTAATCTGTTTCTGTAATATATTTTAATAACTTAACATTAATCGTTTTTTAAAATAAATTTTTAACTTCTGTATGAATAATTTTCGAATAGCTGCTTACATGAATTCAATAATGATAAATTATCACGAAATAAACATCAATACCAAATATTATTAAGAATATTTTTAAATTAATTAAACATTATAATAATAATTAATCAACATAAATAATGTCAATTTCGTTCTATAAATATTAATAATTGAATCTCAAACAATAACTTATCTTTACATAATTTAATAGAAATTGGTACTTCTGGGTAACTTGATGTC